CAGAGGTTAAGAGCATTGCCTGCTCTACCAAAGGTCCTGAGTTCAATTCCCAGCAACCACATGGTGACTCACAACCATCTGTAATGGGGTCTGGTGCCCTTTTCTGGCCTGCAGGCATACACACAGACAGAATATATATACATAATAAATATTTTTAAAAAATTGTTTATGTACATTAATGTTTTGACTACATATATATGTATGTATGTATGTATGTATGTGTGAGAGTGTTGGGTCCCCTGGAACTGGGGTTGCAGACAGTACAGGAGCTGCCTTGAGGATGCTGGGAATTGAACCCAGGTCCTCTGGAAAAGAAGCCAGTGCTCTTAACCACTGAGCCATCTCTCCAGCCCTGTTTGGTTTTTTGAGATGGGGTTTCTCTGTGTAGTCCTGGCTGTCCTGGAACTCATTCTGTAGACCAGGCTGGCCTCAAACTCAGAGATCCACATTCCTCTGCCTCCTCAGTGGTGGGATCAAAGGTGTGCGCCCCCCCCCCAAAAAAAGAAAGAAGAAAGAATGAAAAAAAATCAAGGCTGTAAGAGAGGGAGACTCCACTGGAGTTAAGGATCTTCTCTGAAAACAAACAGTCATCCTAGACTCTCCACAGCCCTACACCAAGGACAGCCCTCCTGCAGTGAGTGGCCAAACAGAGGGGAAGGAGTTCCTAGGGTGACCCCTGCTGGGCTGGCAGTGGGAAGGAGTTCCTGAATTCTATCACTGCCCAAAGGGAACAGGAGGGCCACAAACCCCTCCCCCAAGGATAGTCCTGCTGAAAGCTCTCTCCTTAGGAACTCATCTATAACCACATTACTTGGGAAAGTATGGCCCTTGAAGATTGTCAGGCAGTGCCGTGACAATGTCATTTATCATTCACACCGACAAGGTAGAGTCTCAAGTGTCCCAGGCTGGCCTAACCTCCCTGTGTGTCCATGAAATGACCTTGAACTCCTGACACCTCTGGCTGCCACCTCCCAAGTCCTAGGCTATAGGTGTGTACCACCACACCCAGTTCATTCTGTACAATGGCTACAGAGATCAGAGCCAGTGCCCGATGAATGCTAGGTGAACTCTACCCACTGGACTACGGCCCTAGCCCCAAGCTGCCCAGCTGCCAGTCTTAAAAAAAAAAAAAAATTCTGTATAAGAGTGCTCTGTCATTCTGGCCATCAGATTCCATTTCAGATGTGAGCCCTGAGACACCATGTGCGTGCTGGGAATTGAACTCAGGACCTTGGGAAAAGCAGCCTACACTCTTAATCACTGAGCCATCTCTCCAGCCCCCAAGCTGTCAGTCTTGGCCTCAGGCATTCCCATCACTTTGAGCTATGCCTGACTGTGTACTAAAGACACCTTCTCAAATGCAGGAGACCATTGGACCTTGGGCAACTTGCTTCCAACCTGAGGACTCTTTCACCTGTACTGGTGAAAACTGCTTACCTCCAAACACAGAAAAGCCTGCAGTGTCTGAGCCACCAGCCTTCTGTTGATTCTCCTCCCCCTTCAAACTGGCCCTTCTTCCTGCTGGCCACCTCCAGAAAGCCTTCCCTGGCTAGCCACTGGACCTGGCCTGGCCTCGGTCCCAGAACACTCCATCTCCACAAACTTGTCGAGGGGATCTTTCCGGAAAATATGGATTCCTGTTTGCTTTTGCTTTTTCAACTTCCTCTTATGTCTGCCTCCTCCCGTGAGACAAGGGAAGACTCCACCTTCTGTGACTCCACATCAGTAAGAACATGTGTGTCCGAGATGCGACTGAAACATGGACTAAAATGAACTAAACCAATGTCCAAGTCCTCAGCATCCCACATGAGAGGACTGCCATCGCTGGACTGCACTGCACAGTTCACAAAGAGTTTGCATGGCTGCTATTTAATGGATTCTTGAACACCCTAGTTTTACAGATATGGAAGGGTGTCTTGGAGCTCAAGGGACGGCAGGGTATTTCTTGTCAGCCTCCAAACCCACTCCTACCAGACTTGCGTTGACTAAACTTATAACAGAATCTAGCAACCCCTTGCCTTCTGCACTGACTTCTCTTTCCTGTAAGTTTTCTGTCCTCTCTTCTAAGAACCTTGGATCAAGGCTGTGTCCAGGGAAAGGTCACAGAGAAGTTGCTTGTCCAATGTCACGGGTCTGAGTAGCTGTATGAGAATTGAACTGAATTGAATTGCCTGACTCTGGTACGGTTCCCACTCTATCAGGTTCCCTCAGCTCTCTCTGGGCTGACTCCTGTCTGTAGAGTGAACTGTGTGAAATCTTCAAGTCTCTGCCCCGCAGCAGTGGTGGCGCGCACCCTTAATCCCAGCACTCAGGAGGCAGAAGCCGGTGGATCTGTGTGAGTTCGAGGCCAGCCTGGTCTACAGATTGAGTTCCAGGACAGCCAAGACTGATTCACAGAGAAACCCTGTCTCAAAAAAAATAAAACACAAAACAACAACAACAAAAAGCTCTCTAGGTCTCAGCCCTGGGTCTTCTGGAGAGTCCTGTTAGTTTGGGAGACTTCTGAATTCCATTTTCAATCTCAGTCTGGTCAAATTAACCATTCACTGTCACTAAGCCTCGGGGTTTTCATCTGCAAAGGAGATTTGTGTTGTTGTTGATATGTAGCCTGGGCTGGCCTCACATTTATTCTTCTGCCTCAGCAGCTCCAGTGCTGGGATTCTAAGTGTGCTGCCACCATGCAGGCTCTGCAAATGGGCTCTAGTGAGGAAATGGTAGTAAGTCTCCCGACACATCCAGAGTAGTCAATCAATGTCAGATTTCTTCCTTTCCACTCTGAAAGGGGAAGTGCAGGAGTCCTGGGGGAAAGACGTGCAGCTCAAAACTCCACTGCAAGCACCGTCTCCCACTGTACAGTAGAACAGCGATGGAAGCGGGGACCTGTGTCTCTCACATCTCTGGCTCTCAGAATGAGATGACCTAATGAGCTTCCCACAGAGTCCTTTCTGTCCTTCCAGAAAGTTCCCTCGTGTATCCCTCCTTCCCCAAGCTCCATCCTGATGGCCATTTGCTCTGAAAGAGTTAAGCCTCCAGCCTTCCCTTCTTGGCCAGTGGAGATTAGAGAGATCGGATTTATTTCTCTTAATAAACAGAAAAGAAGTTGGGCCAGGCAGGTGACAAGGAAACAATCGGAACAATAGAGGGCTGGAGCAAAAAGGAACAAGACTGCCCTTGGAAGGACCCGGGGCCACCTCCAGACCTGGGAAGACAACAGCTCAGGGCAGAGGGTGTCACCCATGCACGTGGACTCAGTGAGGCTGACATGCTGCCCAGAAAGCCCAGTGCCACTTAATACCAAACACAAGGCAGGATGACCCCAGGAGACTGGAGTACTAAACAACAACTCAGTAGTGGGCAGCCCTCTGCCTCCAGGCTGGTCACCTGGAAAAAAAAAAAAAAAAGAAGGGAATCCACTCCCCTTGGGGTAGACCACCATCCCCTGACAACCTGACCACAACCCATTGAGCTGCAGTTCTATCGCAAGCTCTCCTAAGGGAGAGGGGAATGACTTCACCCTCAACCCCAGTGGGGAATCCAGGGACAGACTTCCCCTCCAGTTGAGGGTTGCAGAACACCTGGAAACACCCCTCATCCAAACCTTCCCTCAGGGCTTGGCCCATTCATCTCAGTCCTAACTTCTATTTGTAGCTGGGCCGCAGGGAAACAGGGCCCTTATCCAAAAGGAAGATCAGACCGGATGCAACACACAAGAGGTTTTCCACCCTCTTCCTGACCCCTAAAGTTCCTTCTAATTCTCCAGAGGTGGTTAAAGGACACTGGAAAGGTAAACATGGCTAGATGGGGTGGGCCATGACCCCTCGTTCCCTCACCTTCAGCACTGTGGCTGGGTGGTATAGGAGAGACACTTCCAGGGGCAGCCTGCCTTCTACTTCCTAGCAGAGCCTAAAAATCTCCCCACCAAACTGAAGAAAGAAGCAGATGCAGGAAAAGCCAAACAAGTGGCCAACATACAGTGACCCTAACAGGGATGGGCCAGGTCCTTCTCCGTTTCTCAGGCTGTCCACCCCTTAAGTTCCAGGAAGAGCCATGGGCTCAAAACTGCATTAGGACTAGGAAACAGCTGCTAGACTTCATCCACCCAGCCGAGGCACAGCCTCTCGATTTAACTTAGACCTCAGTTTCCCCCTTTCTCAACAGCAGTAGATCCCTACCAGGACTAGGGAAAGGAGTGAGGAGGATAGGCCTTTGGTGATCTCACCACCCCAGGAGGTGGATGTTTGTGGTTTGGCCCAGGTAAGGAGGGGGTGGGGGGTGAGAAAAGCTAACACTGGTTAACAACCCAAGGTAAAGGCCTCTAAGCTGAGTCCTTTGTGGGGCTGGGAACCAGGATCTACCTGGAGGGCAAAAACTCCTTTGGAGCAGGTTGACCTTAAAGACCCAAAGAGACCACCACCCCAAGACCCAAGGCCACCTGCCTCTCCCATTGGCCCCAGACCAGAGTCACGTCTCTGACCCCCTGACTCAGCAGAGGGCAGAACCTGGGAGAGCAAGGGGGAAGTGTATCTATCTCCACCAGGAGGGCCAACCAGCCGACACTTCCTGCTTCAGCCAGGGGATCCCTGCCCCAAACGGGGGTCTC